GGGGTTGGTGTAAGAGATGTTAATTCGAGCCACAAAGGAAGTTCCATGCAAAAGTCTTTAGAAATAGTCTGAAGTTAAAGTGGAAGCTTTCTTCCTTTGAGCAGTCATYGGAACAAGTGAAATCTAATCAGAAATGATTATTTATATGCAGGAAAATGCTACAATAAAATAAACAAATGTTGTTGTTGGGATGTTTTAAAAATGATATATCATTCTTGTGAAGGGGATGCTCTTGATTATTGCTCTCTGGCCAATTAATGTCCTGCAGTCTGATGATGTCAAATCTTTAGTTCGACTTGTCTCACCTGGAACGTCAGACAAGTAGGTCCTTAGAAACAGGATGAAGTAAGTGAAATCACCCAGTGAAAAAGGGCCCATGGAAAAAGTCCAATTATGTCCTAAAATTAGGAGGGACCAGAATTGATTGACTGACTGACTAATTGTGTGATTAATTGATTGATTGATCTGGCTGGCTGAAAAGGATCAGATACTAATTTAACTGGATGACATATTAATTATTTAAAACTTTTATGTAATATGATTTGATCTACATTTTAGCTGATATTCTGCCTCCTTTTATTAAAATGAAACTACCATAAAATTAAAGACTGTTATTTTTTTAAATAAGGAAACTCCTGATATTTAATAACGCTGTATTATTGCCTTCCAATCTTGTATGTGTAGGTCTTAATAAGATTTATGATATCTTGATATTGATTTGTTGTGCAGGAGATCGTGGACCACCAGGCACACCTGGACTCAATGGGCAAAAAGGAGACAGTGGGAGAGATGGTTTACCGGGACCTCCAGGTAAGTCATCAACAAGTGGATGAAATGGACTAAAACAGGCCAGCATTTCTTCTTTAAGTCTGACAAAACTCACTGACAAAGACATGTCTGAAGAATGAGCTAAAGTTGTGTTTGTGTCTTTGGTTACAATTATTTTACCCCTAATTTACACCACATGCGTTCCGGCTCCACTCCGGTCCGACCTCCGCAGCAAATACGCACCCATTATAAGAGTGTTTACACTGGCTGTGCATGTCGGCGGTGAGCGGACGGCAATCCGTCAAAATTTGAACAGATCCTATTTTTGCCGGACGCCTGAGCTGCACCGGAGTCAATTTTTGAAGATTATGTCACACCAACAGGAAAAGAAATGAGAACAACAGCCATATTTTCAAAATAAGACACCTTTAGGCTAGATAATTTGTCGGAATAATGTCAAAATTGCAGCTGTATTAATAAATATATGGATATATTTCTACGCAAATGCTGTCAGAATGTATCATTCTGTTTGGGAAGCAGATGGAAACATGTAGCATGAAGCAAATATGTACACACACGATACACGTGGATTTTATTTTGAAATCAGAAGTTTCAGAAAGCCGACAGCGAGASAGTTTCAACATAGATACCAAAAGTGTTTATATCATTGTTTTCAGCTGTGTTTGGAGTTCGTCTTTCACGGAATTAATAATTTTTTGCTGTGACTGCCACACTTATCACTGAATTTATCGTGCGATCTTCTTCCCGCACGTCTGTCGGACCGGAGCGGAGCGGAGGTAGTGTAAACTGGACTTGAAACGCACAGCTGCGACCTGCACAGCACAGTGGAGCGGAGCCGTAACGCATGTAATGTAAATTAGGGGTTACAGTTTACAGTTAATGAAAGATATAGAGAGTAATTTACAATGATCATTAATAAATGCTTTTTTCTGGATCTGAATAAGTCATGTGGATGCTAATATTTCTAACAATAGTTACCCTTAATACAGAGACCAACAATTAGCAACTGGAACACAGTAAAGCTGTGTGTGACAATGTTCCCAGATCCCAGTTTGAACTCTCTCTACAAATGGAACTCAGCATCAAATCAAACTGCAAACTTCAGTTTGGACATTTTAATTACTGTTATTCATTATGGCAGTGAATATACTGTACATGAACCAATAAGTTTTTGCTCAGCAGGCACTAAACCATGTTTGTAGTTAAAATTATAACCAGTTAGATGAATGTCACTTACATACCGGTCTGGTTTCAGTTTCTTTTTTTAATTTCTGTGACAGTCAGTAAAAATGTAAGGCTTTTGTACTCATATTTTTTATTGTCTTTATCAACAGGAGTCAGAGGACCTTCTGGTTTTAATGGGACTGTGGGTGAGTGGAGTATTATTTTTGCTGGGAAAAAAACTAACAAAAAATAAATCCGGGCCTGTTTTTATCAAACTTCTTAAGAGTGAWTTTTTAGACTTAAGTGCTGAAAGTGTAAGTGCCAGTTATGAAAATTCTCAAGTCTAAGAATCACTCTTACACTCAAGAAAAATTAAGACTTTCTCCAGAGGACTCT